GGTTATAGTATAGTGACTATGGTTACACACAACAACTATACCTTTAGTATGTTAATATAAACAAATGACCCAAATAGTTCGACAATTTTTACAATTACATGGTAAATTATACTATAATACACCACAGTTTACTGTAGTTAAAACTTACTGTAAGTATACTACAGTATTAATTGCGGTTTATCGGTTGACAATATAGTTAGTACTACACTGCTACCATTCATTACTAAAGTGTTGTAAATATCATGGGTAAAGTATAATACACTTTACTGTGATGTTCAAAAACATTTACTATGTGGGGTGGTACTGAGTTTTACCGAGTTGAAACTGTATATATATATATATATATATATATATATATATATATATATATATATATATATATATATATTTGTAGTAAATACTAGTATTTTTTTTTAAACATACTCTAGTAAAGTACTTGAATTGATTTGTTGAGGTAATATAATAATAGCTACTATGGTAACACACAACAACTATGGCTAATATAAACAAATGACCCAAATATGACCCAAAATAATATAATTTCTACAACTATAGGGTATTTTATACCCAAACACACCACAATTTACTACAGTAAAACATACTAACAACGAACATAACTGACTATACACTATAGCATTCATTACCAAAGTGTTGTAAATACTATAGACAGCATAATTCTCTTTTTTCTGCCTTGTGGTTCAAAACACTGTACTGTTTACTATAGGTACTCTAGAAAAGTACTTTCGAAATCGGATAAATTCCGTTACACTATTTACTTATACATTACTATAGTATTTGTTCATGTGGTGGGGTTTACGCAGTTTACAGGGAGATATAGCGTGCTTCGTTGAGATTGAGCTGTTTGCTTACCGGTGTTCCGTCGATTTGTGCTGCTCTGTTGGGATTTTAAACTTTATAAATTATGAACGAGTTCAGCTGCGTCGAGTGAACTGAACCAGAGAAAGAGCAGCGGAGTCAAAGGAAATACACGGAGAGCGGGCGCCATCTGGAGGTTCAGGCGTGTTATTACGCGTCCTCAGTCACACTAAACATATGGAGGACGACACCTGCAAAAACAATGATTAAATAAATAAGCACGCAAATAAATATTTATTTATTCATGCATTCTCTTTTCGGCTTAGTCCCTTTATTAATCTGGGGTCCGCCACAGTGGAATGAACCACCAACATATCCAGCATTTGTTTTACGCAGCGGATGCCCTTCCAGCAGCAACCCATCACTGGGAAAGCAAATAAATATATTTATATTTAATGTATTGTATATAAATATATAATAAATATATATGTATATAAATGTATATGTATATAAATAAATAATAGTGCAGACAGATAAATAATAAAATTATATATATATATATATATATATATATATATATATATATATATATATATATATATATATATATATATATATATATATATATATATATATATATATATATATAATATTATATTATAATTTTATTATTTATCTGCCTGCACTATTATTTATTTATATATTTATTTGTACAAAAATTTGTGAATTTATATATTAAATATATTTTATATAATATATTTTATTTATTCATTGTTTTATTTATGTTGGAATTTGTGAATTTATTCATTTAATTACATATTTATTTGTGTATTTATTTATTCATTTATTGTTTTTGCAGGTTTCGTCCTCCATACAAACACATGCTCATCTACAATACATTGGTGTAAAATCGCTGTGGTGATGCACAGACGTCTGTAGCTCCGCCCATCCTCATTTGCATTTAAAGCGACTTCACAATTTGGATCAAAGCCTAAAAGGGTCAGTTTCAGAGTTGTAAAACATAATTGGTGTGGTATTTTGAGCAGAACTTCACTACACACACTCTGGAGACGTCAGAGACACATTTTACATCTCCACAGTGTTGCTGCTGTTGTTAAAAAGATTATTAACATTGGCTCATCAGTTGTAATTATTAATCCTGTACATATATTGGTCATAATCTTTTCATGCCTCTCCATGTACTGCAAAGAAATCATTGAGAGCCGTCTTCTCAAATGAGTGCCAGTTGTGTCTGTAATTTGGATATGGAAACAGTTGATTTGAACCCTTGATTATTAAGTTTTCTTTTATATTTAACCCTTGTGTGTCTTGGAGAGACGTTTGCGTCAAAATTAGCACCTCACCTCTCAGAACTACATGGCGTAAATGAGCAATATCACACCAACGTCCCTTTAGAGCTATTATTTGAATGATTCTCTATAGCGTAATGTGAAGCGGCGCTTTTGGTGTGTGACTCCCTTAAGATGATGACAAAACAGCTGAACTTTGCTCACAATTTAAGATTATAAGGCTGAACGTGACATGAAATGCCATCCGTCTACAGAGATTTCTCACCAGACTGCTGTTGTGTTTGCGATAAGGAGGGACAAGGCTGAATCCAGCTTCTTATTAGGGATGGCTGACGTGAAACTGACGTTTCGACACAGTGTCGAGATCCCGAAGCGCAAGTGTTTCGAAACACTGCACCGAAGCATGATCCGAAACACCCAGGTCACGTGACTAAAGTGTTTCGAAACACTTGGTCACGTGACTAAAGCGATTCAAAGCATTGATCATTTCAGAGGCGTACTTATAATGTACCTGTGTCTTGTATGGCTTAGTGGACCGTGCGTGTGTTCAACAGTACTGTGTTACAAATTTGTTTTGGGTTCGAATCCCGACTAGTCCAAATACTATAAAATCATGATTTTATATATTTTATTCATGTTACTGTTTTATGGTGTAGTCTAGATAGGATACAGCTACGGATATGCCATCAATTTAGCATCATTTTTGTATCACTGTAAAACAATAATTCATATTTTTACAGTACTGTGATGGGTTTAGGTTTTGGATAGACGTTAATAAAATACAATGGGAAATTTAATTAACAATATAAATAATTATTGTTAACTCCTGGCCACAACTGTATCTGATCTAGCAACAACCCTGTTTTATGAACAAAACAATACAAATTTATTTACAAGGTGTTTATTCGTATGTCAGAGCAATGTTGAAACAAAACGATACAATAACAAAGCATTACCAACTGCTATTAAAGCATTTCAAAACAATTGTTTCAGTTAGGATTCGATCCCATCATTCCCGCATGTTGGTCATGAACTCTAACCGCTCGTCTAAACCACTTGAAGATACAAGGCTGCAAAGTAGGGTTTGATACCCTAATTTGCTCAACTGTTCTTTGCCGATGCTGTTTCAGTGAAATACAAATAAAATGACCACTAGGTGTCGCTGTAGAGTGGTGTTTCGAAACGTTTCGAAGCTTCCGACACATTTGCTTCGATAGTTTCAGTGTTTCACGAAGCCTCGCTTTGCCCACCACTACTTCTTATTCGCAGCTTCTTATTGACTCTATCCGGTCCACCTTAAAAACAACGAGGCTTCCGTTTTTCAGCTTTTTAATTCGCGCTCAAAAGAGCACACTTATGCAGTTCTGGCGCCATCTTGTGGACACACAATGTCAACCGTCTTTGGCCGCCGATGAGCTCTCAGAAATTGTAAATATTTTAAAATAGGCACTATTCTTGCAAATAAACTGCATAGTTGCAATCTAAACCACTACATTCTCCACTAAAAAAGCCTCAAAAGTATATTTTGCAAACCCTGCTGAAAAATCCAGCTTAAACCAGCCTAGGCTGGTTGGCTGGTTTTAGCTGGTCGACCAGGCTGGTTTTAGAGGGGTTTTGGCCACTTCCAGGCTGGTTTCCAGCCATTTCCAGCCTGGTCTTAGCTGGTCAGGCTGGGAGATGACCAGCTAAAATCAGCTTGACCAGCCTAGCCAGGCTGAGAGCCCAGCCAAAACCAGCTATGTCCAGCTTAAACCAGGCTGGTCAAGCTGGTTTTAGCTGGATTAAGCTGGTCATTTTTCAGCCTGACCAGCTAAGACCAGGCTGTAAATGGCTGAAAACCAGCCTGGAAATGGCCAACACCCCTCTAAAACCAGGCTGGTCAACCAGCTAAAACCAGCCAACCAGCCTAGGCTGGTTTAGGCTGGATTTTTCAGCAGGGTGGTTGTCTAACAGCAGTAATATTTGTCAAAATGTAGTGTCTGCTTGTTGCTGGCTGTATGTGGGCGGAGTAATACACGAAGCGTAAAGAGGCTGTACGGATGCTGATATTACTTAAATATATCACGGCTATCAGCCAATCAGATTCGAGATCCACTGTTGTATAAACAAAAACAAAGTATATGTATTAAATCCGGCACACTATGATTCGCACGAATAGCACACAAGGGAGACAAAATTTAAACTTGACGCTGCACAAAAATTAACAATGCATCAAAGCAAAGAAAAATTAAGTGAGTTTTCCTTAAAACAAGCACAATAATCTACCAATGGGGTAAAAAAATAAATGTATTTCAAAGCAAAACAATATTATTTTGCTTGTTTTATTGAAAAACGTACTTAATTTTGACTCATTACGTCTGAAAACAGCACTATATGTTTATTCACCAATAGAAAAAGCTTGCTGATTTACGCATGTGTAGATGTTTGGAGTGCTGTGCTGCATCTATTACAACACACTCACACATCATCAAACATCTGTGTGTATATGTCAGCTTAAACTACAGCTGGACACAATATAAACAGAGGTGCAACAAACAGCTCTAAATCATTTCTCTTGCCTTCAGCATGTAAACAGACGCCCTTCTGGTGATGTGCAGCATCTGGTTTCACATGAAATACACTTTCGGTCATTGATGAATAAATACACACTGAATAATGCTGGAAAAATCAGCCACTGGCTTCCATGGAATTTTTGTTTCCTACTATTGATGTCGATAGCTCCTTTTTTTCCCCAACATTCTTCAAAATATCTTGTTTTGTGTTCAACGGAAATAAGAAAATCAAGCACTTGAGTGTGAGGAAATATAGCCAGGATCTTGTCATTTTGGTGTGAACTGCCCCTTTAAGAGCACACAATACTACAGACAGCAACAGTTGGTGTGTAATATGTTTATTGTTGGTTGAATAGAAAACAAACCCAAAAAATTAACATTTATTACAGGATCAAAAAAATACTTTTCACATAAACATAATGACACGTTTCTAGCAGCTTAGCTTCAATGATTGTTTAAAATATTCGATGAGGTTTAGGAAATAAGTGCTACAGTTGTGTAAAGTGAGAATAGAGGAGACGACGAGAGACAAACAAATGAGATGCGCTTTGATTTTACTGACCTGTTAGGGTGGATTAGTGTGAGAAATGACCGTTTCAAAGGCATAGTTCAGTCAGAAATGAGCACCCTGTCATTGACTACTCACCCTATTCAAAACCTATGAGGCATCCAGTCATATTCAAACACAAACTGAGGCATTTTAGATGAAATTTAATCTAAAAACAGTCCATATATCTGATCACAGCTTTATAAAAGTATGATTGAACTACTTAAGACACTTTAACAGTGTTGACAATGTGTGCAATGCCTTACAGTTGATCCATAAGTCGTTCTCTGCACATCACACGCAGAAAAATAACTTTAATTTGTAGATTAATCCTACAGTTTTTAATGATCACACAGAAAAATGACATTGATAAAGTTATTAAGACTAATTAATACAAGTCATGTTCAGTGAGAAGAACTGGAGCTGCGCTATTTAAAACGCAGCTTCAATGGCTTCAATGTCAAACGAAACAATGAGTGAAGAATGTGTGGTGGACAAAACCGGTACAGTGTGTAGGTCAGTGTGTAGTGTGTTCATACATAAACGCTGATGCTTATGGCAGAGATTACAAATATTATAAAATGATTAAAGTAACCCTTTAAGGGCAACTTAACGCTCCAAATGAAGGTTGTAGCAATTACATAGACAAGCCAATAGGTGGCGGCAAACAACCATCAAAAATGTGCCACTGAATAATTCTTCAAAACTGATCCATCTTGTAATTATTAACTGAAATGAATATGATTTGTGGTCTTTGTTAACGAGATTATAATGTAAAGCACTTTAATAACTGAGCATTGAATCATTTATTTATTTATTTAGCTGGTTATTTATTCTGAGTTTATTTTTGTTAAAATAACGGGTTATATAAGCTATTTTCTTTAAAACCAAAAGTTTATTTGCAAAAAGTGATTAAACCTGTTGCTTTTAAAGTGATTAGTTAACTTTACTTTAGGAAGTGAACCAAATGCTTTTAAATCAGTCGACTTTAGTAAGTGGACAAAACCGGTACAGTGTGTAGGTCAGTGTGTAGTGTGTTCATACATAAATGCTGATGCTTATGGCAGAGATTACAAATATTATAAAATGATCAAAGTAACCCTTTAAGAGCAACTTAACGTTCCAAATGAAGGTTGTAGCAATTACATAGACAAGCCAATAGGTGGCGGCAAACAACCATCAAAAATGTGTCACTGAATAATTCTTTAAAACTGATCCATCTAGTAATTATCAATTGAAAATAAGACTTAAAATATAAATATAATGATTTGTTGCCTTTGTTATCAAGATTATAATGCAAAGCACTTTAACAACTGAACATTGAATCATTTATTTATTTGTTTAGGTTATTTATTTTGAGTTTATTTTTGTTAAAAATCACAGATTATGTAAGCTATTTTCTTTCAAAACTAATGGTTCTTTCTGAAAAAAAAGTGAGTAAACCTGATGCTTTGAAAGCTATTAGTTGACTTTACGTTTAAAAACTGAGTAAACCAGCTGCTTTTAAATCAGTTAGTTGAATTTACTAGTTAGTGGACAAAACTGGTACAGTGTTTAGGCCAGTGTGTAGTGTGTTGCTCTTAAAAATTAACCTTTTAAGAGCAACTTAACGCTCCAAATGAAGGTTGTAGCAATTACATAGACAAACCAATAGGTGGCGGCAAACAACCATCAAAAATGTGTCTGAATAATTCTTCAAAAGCGATCCAGCTTGTAATTATTAACTGAAAATAATATGATTTGTTATCTTTGTTAACGAGATTGTAATGTAAAGCACTTTAATAACTGAGCATTGAATCATTTATTTATTTAGCTGGTTATTTATTTTTGAGTTCTTTTTTGTAAAATCATGAGTTATATAAGCTATTTTCTTTAAAACCAAAACTTTTTCTAAAAAAAAAAAAAATTAGTGAGTAAACCTGGTGCTTTTAAAGCTATTAGTTGACTTTACTAGTTAGTGGACACAACTGGAACAGTGTGTAGGCCAGTGTGTAGTGTGTTCATACATAAACACATGTTTATGGTAAAGATTATTTTAAAATGATTAAAATGTATTATAAAATGCTCAAATTAATTTGTTAAGAGCAACTTAATGCTCTGAATAAAGGTTGTAGCAATTACATAGACAAACCAACAGGTGGCGGCAAACAACCATCAAAAATGTGTCACTGAATAATTCTTCAAAACTGATCCATCTTGTAATTATTAACTGAAAATAAGACCAAAAAATAAATATAATGATTTGTTGTCTTTGTAAACAAGATTATAAACTGAGCATTGAATCATTTAATTATTTATTAAGTTTATTTTAAGTCACGGGTTATATAAGCTATTTTCTTTAAAACCAAAAGTCTCTTTCTGGACTGTTCTTGTAATAAATGGAAATCAATATACATTGGTCTCCTCTACTTTAAAAGGTCTTATAAATCAAAATTGTGGGACCCTTGCTGTCTTTCCAGGGTCAGAGAGCTCTCACATTTCATCTAAATGATCTCAGTTTGTGTTTGAAGCTCAACGAAGGTCTTGTGGGTTTAATTAGAGTGTGTAATAATGAATTAAGTTTCATTATTTGTCTGAACCGTCCCTTTAATTGAAGCCCTATATGGCCTGAATCAGGCTTTAAAGCATGTGAGCACCAGCTGGGACAGACACAGTTCCTACTAGAGGTCAAACAGTTTGACCCCTAAAGGTCAGCTCTGTGTGTATGCATACAGGAGAAATGTACTTAAACACAAGTACAGCTTTTTGTTGTGTTTGACAACTGTAAACCATATAATCGAGAAGCCTGTTGGGGGAAATGCGGGTTATTTTCGAGCGCAGGCACATGAGGAAGGGCAAGAATATCGATCCGGCAGCAAAACAGAGCTCGTGTTTGCACATCAGTTCAACATTTACAGAAAAATAAAGTTTATTGCGTCCCCTATATTTGATTCCTTATGCAATACGCAGGAAAACAAACAGACAAATAAAGGTAGAATTTCATCTGGCCTTGAAATAAAGTGGACGGGATTGTAGAAAGGCAGTTTTGTGAGGTAAGAGTGAAGGTGAAATCATTATTATGTTAATAATCAGACACAAAGTGAGTTAAAAATGCTGATTGGGTCATGGAAAGTCAGATGGGATAATGCAGGCTAGAAAATATATGAGTTTATATTTTACATACACTAAACTCTGCACTGAATCTACGAGGTTAAAATGACCTAAAGCGAAACCAGGACAATAGAAGAGAAAGAGAGAGACAGACAAATCATCCACATTCTCTATATGAAATCCAGCTGAATCTAGACAAAAATCATTGGTGGAAGACAGAAGCGGTGTGAGGTCAGCTGTACGAGTCTGTGCTTGTGACAACATGAGGAAAATCAGTGCGAGCGTGAATGACACCCTATTAATATCTGGACCAGCTCACACTGTAAAAAACAATAAGTTGACCTAAAGAGTAAGAGTAAACCTGTTGCTTTTAAATCGATTGCTTGACTTTAAAGTGAGTAAATGCGGGGCTTTCAAAGAGATTAGTTGATTTACCTTTTAAAAAATGAAAAAACCGGAAGCTTTTATGGCAATAAAATGACTTTACTTTTTAAAAAAGTGAGTAAATCAGATGCTTTTAAAGCGATTCGTTGACTTTACTTTAAAAAACTTGAGTAAACCTGATGATTTAAAAGAGATTAGTTGACTTTACTTAAAATGGTGAGTAAACCTGTTGCTTTTAAATCAATTTGTTGACTTTATACTTAAGAATATGAGTAAACCTGTTGCTTTTAAAGTGATTAGTTGACCTTACTTAAAAAAGTGAGTAAACCTGTTGCTTTTAAAGTGACTAGTTGACCTTACTTAAAAGAGTGAGTAAATCAGATGCTTTTAAAGTGACTAGTTGACTTTACTTTGAGAAAAGTGAAAAAAAAATGCCATGCTTTTAAAAAGGTTACTTGACTTTACTTTAAAATAAGTGAGAAAACCCGATGCATTTACAGCTATTAGAGGACTTTACTGTCACAAAGGGCAAACCAGACGCTTTTAAAGCGATTAGTTGACTTTACTTCAAAAAGTGAGGAAACCTGTTGCTTTTAAATCGATTACTTGACTCTACTCTTGAAAAACATTAATAAATGTAATGCTTTTAGGGAGATTAGTTGACTTTACTTAAAAAAAGAGACAACCTGATGCATTTAAAGCTGTTAGCTTACTTTACCATTAAAATGAGTAAACCCGACACTTTTAAAGTGATTAGTTGACTTTACTCAAAATCAGTGAGTAAACCTGTTGCTTTAAAAAAGGATTAGTTAACTTTACTTAAATAAAGTGAGTAAATTTGATGCATTTAAATCGATTACTTGACTTTACTCTTGAATAACATTAATAAATGTAATGCTTTTAAGGAGATTAGTTGACTTTACTTTAAAAAAAAGAGAAAACCTGATGCATTTCAAGCTGTTAGCGGACTTTACCATTAAAAGGAGTAAACCCGACGCTTTTAAAGTGATTAGTTGACATTACTAGAAAAAAGAGAGTAAACCAAGGCTTTTAAATCAACTACTTGACTTTACTTTTGAAAAAAATTGAGTAAATGCGATGCTTTTAAATCGATTAGTTGACTTTACTCAAAATCAGTGAGTAAACCTGTTGCTTTAAAAAAGGATTAGTTAACTTTACTTAAATAAAGTGAGTAAATTTGATGCATTTAAAGCTATTAGTTGACTTTGAAAAGAGCAAACCCATTGCTTTTAAAGCTATTAGATGACTTTATCTTTAAAAAAGGTGAGTAAACCTGTTGCTTTTAAAGAGATTAGTTGACCTTACTTAAAAAAGTGAGTAAACCTGATGCTTTTAAATCGATTAGTTGACTTTACTGAAAGTGAGTAATCCAGTAGCCTTGAAATTAAGTAAAATAATTATGTGCATAATTATAAAAATTAAACTTAACAATTCCAGGTTATAATGGGTTTACTCACTTTTTAAAGTAAATTAACTGATTCCTTTTTACAGTGAAGATACTTTTATTTTAGATTGTTTCATATTTATATTTACATAAATGAAGCATTTTCCTGTAATATGCTGTGAAATGTTCCATATGTTCCTACAAATATTATAGTACACTAAAGTATGCCATGGAAATTTAGTTTTCCATCGAATGTTTTTTTTTTTTTTTTTTACATTTATCAATACAGTTTTTATTATTAATTATTGAAGGCCCACATTTAATGACTTCAGATATTGAAGTCTACAAGTTCAAATTAAAAAAACTTTGTTCTCAAAACTGCCAACAAGGTCAAGAAAATCAATTTAATTCAACAAGTAAACAAGATTCATTTCTCACATGTGTGATATTTTTGTGTATAGTTTTTATCTTTTTGATTTGCTTATCGTGAATGGAAAACGAGACATAAATTCTGTGAGAAAACCGTTTTTTTGATCAGTATGCTTGAATATGTGTTGTGATTTGCTGAGACTCACCCAAATATTCATTCTCCAAATACCATTGTGATTAAAACTGAGAGATTTACGAGTCGATGTGCAATAATTGGCATTTAAAGCGATGAAGAAATGAAAAACGTCTGCACTCCCTGAGTTTCTAAATGCGTCTGTCTGTCTGTCTGTCTCTCCCTCTTTCTCTCGCATGCATATAAAACACTCTGAAAAATAAAAATGGCACGACCAAAACTCCAAAACATCATGATGAGGGCTGATCTACAGGGCCGAGCACCGATAATCACATGCTGATCACTCACAGACACACAAAAACGTCAGGAATCGTGGCTTTGAGGCTCAAAGATGCAAATCGACACACACTTAAGTGCACCAGGGTTTAGTATGAAACAGACTTCTGAGGTATGCAGGATTTCGCCTTTTCCCATTAAAGACGATGGGTTTGTTTCAAATGACACAAAACAAACAAGTCATCATCACACAGTACTGTATAATCTGAGGAGAAGCGCCGTCTCCTGGTTAAACCTGCAGCACAGGGTCGACTGAGGCAGTTTGGTTAAGATCGTGACCATTTCTCTTGTTTTAAACCGGGAGTCTAATGAGTTCTGAGAAGAGATGTACCTGTAACCGCGTTAATTAACTCATGGACAGATCTCCATGACAACACGGATGGAAACGGCTGGTTAGAGGGATTCTGGGAAACAGCTGACAAATAAACAGAGGAAAATAGAGACAATCTACACCGCTCTGCACTACAAAAAAACACCTTTCTAACTTGTTTCAAGTTGAAATATCAAATTATTTTGAATCGAATAAGCATTTTCAAGACCACAATAGTCAAAAAATAGACAAAAATTAAGTGAGTTTTAGTTAAAACAAGGTAAATAATCTGCTAGTGGGGTAAACAAAATGATGCTCTGCCAAAAATGCATTTCTTACTAAGAGATTGTGTGTTGATTCTAGTTTTAATATCTGAAATTGTATATTAAAATATAGACAAGATAATTTATTGTTTTCAGAACTATTACAGCTATCTAGTTATTGCAGATCACCGGAGAACTACAAATCTGCCGCCATTGGACTACAAATCCTGTCATGCACCTCCCACACACACCTGATTCTGTTCTGATTTCCCCTCATTACAAACACACAGCTGAAGCTTGTCATCCCTGATTTCCAGGACTATAAATACACCTCACTCCCTCACGTTAGATGCTGTCTTGTTGTTTATCTGTACTGTTAACATTACGAGTAGTGGTGGGCAAAGCGAGGCTTCATGAAACACTAAAACAGTCGAAGCAAATGTGTCGAAACGTTTTTGAAACCCCACTCTACAGTGACACCTAGTGGTCATATTTTATGTATTGCACTGGAATAGCTTCAGCAAAGAAGGTATTAAACCCCACTTTGTAGAAATGAACCTTCAAATGATTTAGTGGAGCGGTGAGGGTTCCTGACTACCATTCGGGGATAATGGGTTCGAATCCAGGCTGATGCAGCTATTTTGAATGCTGAACATCAGTTTGAAATGCTCTGTTCTTGTATTGTTTTGTTTCAACATTGTTCTGACATCCGAATAAACACTTTGTGAATAAATATGTCTTGTTTTGGTCATAAAACAGGGCTGTTGATAGATCAGACACAGTTGTGGCTGAAAGTTAACAGGAATTATTGATATTATTTATTACACTTCCCATTTACTGTATTTAATGTCTACCCAAACCCTAAATCCAACCATCAGAGTGCTGTAAAAATATTAATTATTGTTTTACAGTGTTACAAAAATGATGCTAAATTGATGATGCATCTGCAGCTGTATCCTATCTAGACTGCACCAGAAAACAGTAACATTACTAAAATGCATAAAATCATGATTTCGGAGTATTTGTACAAGTCGGGATTCGGATCCGAAGCCATTTGAAGCACAGTAACAACGTGCACACCTACAGCCCACTAGGCTACATGAGACAGAAGTTGCTTGTCAGTCAAATGCAGATTCGTCAGGTCTCGAAATACTTCTGAACTGATCAATGCATTGAATCCAATGACTGTAAAAAATATGGACGACGCGACAGCCCTTTTTCCCATTGAACGCCTTGAGGGCAAAACGCCTGCTTGACGGGCACAAACTGTCGCAAAAGACTGCTGAAATTGGAGCCAGACATGCGCAGAAGGATTGTCTGATGGAGCCAGAGGAGGAGCCGCGAAAATGAGCAGAGTCGAGCTTCCAATCAAACGCTTTATGTAAAATCAACTACGCCCCCCGAACTTCTCAGCATGCGTTTGCTGTCATATCAACACAAATGGATGTAATAACGTTAACAAATATGAGGGTTTTATATATTCAATCGCGCCAGCTCCAGGCCGCAGCGCATAACTTACTCGCGGCGTCGCGGGCTGATTCCGGCTCGCATGCGGCAGCACCGGCTCGCTCGGCCGCCGCATCTGGCTCGATTGACTCGGACTGGAATCGGGCAGTGAGTCCAGGCATCCGGAGTAGGTCCAGCAGAGGTAACATTAGTCAGTCTGAGCTCTAAGAGATAAGTCTCCGGCAGGCGAGAATCTAGCCGGAACTGTGTTTTGCTATCTGGGTGGCTAGGCGTGTATCAGCAAACTAATAAAGCCCGAAAAAAGCCCTGAACTTAGCAAATAAACAGTGTTCCACCAGGATCATGTATGTCAGAAACTGTAGTTTACTGCTGAACTCATTTTGTCATGGTAAAATAACACAGAAATCGAATAATAACATTTCAGTCTACTTCAGTCTCCTGCCGAAGCTCAAACGCCGCGCTTTGAGAAACTGTCAATCACAGCTGTCAATCACGATGACACGCCCAGCATTAAATTACTGCTAAAAACAAACTGTTTACAAAAATGAAGATCTGCACCTATTTCAGCACAATAACCAGTGCCTTAATCGACCAGAACTATCTTTCGGGACATTTTATTGCAAGTGTAATATTTTTTTTTATTTGGGCTCAAGTCTCCTTCATTAACACGGAGGAGGCGGGCTTTATGACTTGTACTGCAGCCAGCCCCCAGGGGGCGATCTAACGGCCGAAACCTTCACTCAAACGTAGGCTTGCGGCACACTTGATTGAATCGCCTTGGTCACATGACCAGGTGTTTCAAAACACTCTAGCCATGTGACCTGAATGTTTCAGAGCATGCTTCGGTGCATTGTTTCGAAACACTTGCACTTTGGGATCTCGACACTGTCGAAACGTCAGTTTCACGTCAGCCTAATTATGAGTGGTTTTCCTTGCCGTGTTTGATCCTTGCTTTGTTTTACTCTTTATTACTGTCTGCTGCCTGCCTTTTACCATCCGCCTGTTTATGACCACGTCTCTGGACTGCTGACATCTGTTTGTTTCTATATTGACTATTGCTTGCTTAAACATTTTGTAGATTAAATCCTGCATTCGGATCATCTGTGTCCCCTTCACAGTACAGATAAACAACAAGACTCAGCAACTAGTGTGAGGGAGTGAGGTGCATTTATAGTCCTGGAAATCAGGCATGACAAGCTTCAGCTGTGTGTGTAATTAGGAAAAATCAGAACAGGTGTGTGTGTAAGGTGCATGACAGGATTTGTAGTCCATTTGGTGGCAGATTTGTTGGTGCTTGCTGGTGGCTATCATAGATGGGGTCGAAATTAAATGAGTTTTTCCTTGAAACAAGCTAAAAGATCTACCAATAGGGTGTGCAAAATAATCTTGTTTTTGCTTTGATAAAATGTCATGCTGTTTACCCCATTGACCAACTTTGGACACCCCTGTTTTAAGGGAAAAACTCACTTTATTTTGACTCACTATTTCTGAAAACAGTCTGATTTAAGAATTTTTAGATGTTTATACTAGAAACAAGACAAAAGTCTGAGTAAGAAAAGCTTTGAGGATTGAATGAGCATTATCAGTGGTTGTCAGCTGATAGATATGGGCCAGTAGGGGCCTTCTGCACGCACTTGTAGGCTTAGAAGGCTGCTATTATGGTTAATCAGATAGATCACATACGGCTGCGTATGGAAGTTAATGATAATTATTTATATTGTTTATTAAATTAGCCATTAATTGTATTTTATTAGTGTTTACCCCTGCCCCTACCCCGAACTCAATCTCACAGTAATGTAAAAACAGATCTGTATCTGAAGTCTTCTCTATTAGTATAGCTAATTAACCATGTGGATGGATGATAACAGCCTTCTGGGCTACCAGTAGGCATAGAAGGTCCCTAATGGCCCATATCGATCAGCTGATAACGACCATTTAATCGAGTGAAAACATTCGAATCAGGTGAGCTTTTTTTCCAGTGCATTGTTTTCAGGTTTATTTAATGCCCTTAATGTTAACTTAATAAGTCTAAAAATGCTTTTGATTTAAGACTTTTTAGATATTTAGACTAGAAACAAGACAAAAAGTAAGAAGTGTTTTCTTGCAATGTGTTCCAAATACTAGTGAGTCTCTTACTGTTGATGGCAAACTTACCATCATATAACAATAACAATACTCTATATAGGTGTGATTCCAGAATTGCGAGTACATAAATCTCCTAGATAAACCTTTTATATTTCAAAAACTAAGATTTTTAATTAAAAAGTTTTGCATAATAACAGAAATTATATCAAGTTATCTCTAAAACAAGGTCTGTATGTGTTTTGAGGGACTTTTTGAGAACATGCAAACTCCACACAGAAATGCCAACTGGCCAAGCCAAGGCTCGTACCAGCGACCTTCTTGCTGTGAGGCCACTGTGCTAACCACTGAGCCCAATAATGCATTCAGCTTACATTAAATTATACATTTAATGTAGGTAATTACAGTTAAAAAAATTAAAGGAAACTGTTTAAAATGTTCCCGCAATTCTGGAACGCGTCATAGTGCTGAATTCACAACGGCTTTCATTAGTTTAAGTCACTGATTTAATTCAATTACTTTTAATGTTTGCAGCTCACTAGTGTTTGGAACAGAGACTGAAGAAAAGCTAATGACTGAATGTTATTGACAATACACAATCAACATCATCAAAAAAAGAAAGAAAAGAAAATTAAAACACAAAACAGCTTTAAATGTCCCATATCGATCGATTAATACTCATAAACGTGGCCCACTTTGTGTAATACTACTGTTCTGCTTAAAGCAAAGCTGTTTTGTCCGTCATTTTTATAGCTTCATCGTTCAGTTCAGCTTTGATTGTCTTCATTTAAGTCCATTCAACTCCAAGCCAAATGCCAGATTGTTTTCAGATGTAACAAACGAGACACTGTACATAATAACCAAAAATATAACTTCCTTAAAAAAATACAATAATCAGGAGTCCAACTGGAATCAAACACACACATGTGAAGATTTGAGAACATATTGGTAGTAAATGTAGTGATTCTGTCCTTGGGTTGATCTCATGGAAAAACACCAAAAACAAGAAATTAGATTTTGCATAAATGCCACAGATTTATCATTCAATTAATAACTAATTAAATTTAATTTAATTAGATATCGCAAAGAGAAATTAAAATAAATGGGAATATGTAAAGAAAATGTATAATACTGTAATATCTTACCAGTTTAATGTTTACAGTATTATACTGTAATTTAATTTTACTAAATAAATGTAGATTTTTTGTGTTGTGTGTGTGTTGTGTGTGTGTGTGTGTGGGGGGGGGGGGGTGGTTAGGGATGGTGAAAACTCTTTTTAGTGAATTTTGGTAGTAAACAGGTAGTTTTTTTAGTTAATTTTTACAGTATTATACTGTAATTTAATTTTTTCAGTTTGAATCTGAATACTGTTTTTTTTTGTGATGACGAAAACTGTTCTTGTGAATTTTGCTAGTAAGCATGCATGAGACTAAATGAACAGTACAATAATTTATTGATTCAATTTTACAGTAATATACTGTGATTTAATGTTTACAGTATGAATCTGGATTTTAGTTTTTTTTGTGATGATGAAAACTGGTGAATTTTGGTAGTAAATGTGCACAAGACTGAATGAAATTGTAAACACTACTATAATTAATCGTTTTAATTTTTACAATATTATACTGTAATAAAATTTTTACAGTATGAATCTGAATTTGCAACACAATGTCACGCCACTTCATAACTTTTTTGATTTTGTGGCCAATTTGTATGAATTCGTACAATCTCATTCATACAGTTTAGTACAATTTGCTCATCACCCAAAGACGGTTGGGTTTAGGGATGGAGTTTGGTGCCACGCCTCCTTTTTAAAATCGTACATTTTCATTCAACTGAACTCGTATGAATTCGTATGAATATTTGTAATAAGATCAGGAGATCAGGATCTCCAGATCTCATGAGATCAGGCTGGGATTTGTTTATTTGATGATGATGGTAAAAACTGTTCTTGTGAATTTCCCAGTAAACATAGATAGTTTGGTTAAACTTTACAGTATTATACTGTAAATAAATTTTTACAGTATGAATCTGGATTTAGGTTTTTTAGTGACTGTGAAAACTGTTCTTGTAAATTGTGGCAGTAAACCTAGGTAGTTTGGTAGTTAATGTTTTACAGAATTATACTGTTATTTAATTTCTACGGTAAGAATCTGGATTTTGGGGTTTTTAATGATGATGAAAGCTATGCTTGTGAATTTTACTAGTAAACATGCATAAAACTGAATAAACACTACAATAATTTATTGTATTAATTTTTACAGTAATATACTGTAATTTAATTTCTACAGTAAGAATCTGGATTTTGTGGGTTTTTAGTGTAGATGTTCTTGTAAATTTTGGCTGTAAACATGCATTAGAACTGAATGATCATTTTAATTTTTACAGTATTTTACTGTAATTTAATTTTTACAGTATGAATCTGGATTTTGTGGGTTTTAAGTGACAGTGAAAACTCTTCTTGTAAATGTTGGCAGTAAACATGCATAAGAATGAATAATTGTTTAAATTTTTACAGTATTATACTGTAATTTAATTTCTACAGTATGAATCTGGATTTTGGGTTTTTTAATGATGATGAAAGCTGTCCTTGTGAATTTAACTAGGAACATGCATAAAACTGAATAAACACTACAATAATTAACTGTTTTATTTTTAAAGTAAAATACTGTAATTTAAATTTTACAGTATGAATCTTGGTGGGGTTTAGTGATGATTAAAACTGATCTTGTAAATTTTGGCAGTAAATGTACATAAAAACTGAATGATCGTTTTAATTTTTACAGTATTATACTGTAATTTAATTTCAACAGTAATAATCTGGATTTTGTGGGTTTTTAGTGTAGGTGTTCTTGTAAATTTTGGCAGTAAACATGCATTAGAACTGAATGATCGTTTTAATGTTTACAGTATTTTACTGTCATTTAATTTTTACAGTATGAATCTGGATTTTGGGTTTTTTAATGATGATGAAAGCTGTCCTTGTGAATTTAACTAGTGAACATGCAAAAACTGAATAAACACTACAATAATTAACTGTTTTATTTTTAAAGTAAAATACTGTAATTTAATTTTTACAGTATGAATCTGGATTTTTTGGTGGGGTTAAGTGATGATTAAAACTGTTCTTGTGATTTTTGTCAGTAAACGTACATAACAACTGAATGATCATTTTAATTTTTACAGTATTATACTGTCATTTAATTTCTACAGTATGGATCTGGATGTTGAAGGGTTTAGGTGATGATGAAAATGTTTTTTCCTCACAAAATGCAAAAGTAAAAAATGCAAAATGTAATTTTAAATTTTTTGGTATTTTTTCATGAGAGTCACCCTGTTTATGAATATTAATTCCTTTAGTTTTTATATCTGGCTCAATGGTCATGGCACAGTTTGTGAACTCCTTACTGCATAGCTGATTACTTAACTAAATTAAGCAGATATCATTATTAAAAAAGAAAATCATACAAAAGTTTCCTCATTTAGTTTTCCTTTCTACATAAGTCATACATGCTGCGTTATGATCAGAGAAATCACGGCTGAGGTTATCCAAGTCAATAGCAGAAAGTGCACAAAGATGGATTTGTCTCATAAAAGTTTCCGAAATCTCTCCAAAAGTCTTGCGTTATGCGTAATGCTTTTAAAAAATCCTATTCTGGAAACATCTAAAGCATACAAATCTGATTTGCATAATCTAGAAAGGAAATAGAAACAAACACCCATCAAGCTCATAAAAAACATTGAATTAATGAAGGTTATTTTTCCTTTAAAGGTGCCGTTGTCCTGTTTTATTTGATAGTTGGGCTCTACCTGAGCTCTGCGTTCAGTTTCAGACTCGGCATTTGGGGAGTTTCGAAGAGTTTGAGCTCTTGATAGATGATCATGTCGAGCAAAGGGAAAAGCCTTCAGACATCCAAACTGATTAGAGCCAAGCAGCAGAGAAGAGATACGCACACACACATTGAACACACACACACTACCCATGCTGCTGAGATGAATCCCTGCGGACAGACAGAAACACACACACATCAAACACTTCGTCTACACTAGGTGGCTCCAAAATTAAAGAGACAGTACACCAAAAAAAGCCATTTATTTGTATCCACTTTCTGTCTGTTACTCAACACAAAAGAAGACCATTAAAAAATGTCGGAAACCTGTAACCATTGATTTCCATAGTATTTGTTCTTCTTGCTATGAAAGTCAATGGTTAGCGGTTTTCAGCTTTCTTCAAAGTATCTTCCTTTATGTTCAACAGAAGAAAGAAGCTCATAAATGTTTGGAGGGAGTGAGTGGTGGATAAATGTACATTTTTGAGTGAACTGTCCCTTTTAACTGTTGACAAGGGCAATAGAAAAATCACAAAGTTAGCAGTTTTTGTACCTGTTGTAAGTTTAGTTATCAAAAAATATAATGATTTACAATAAAAAATATAAATAGGCATTTGCAATATTTATAATCCACTAATGATGTGCATACATGATCAACATTATTATTACTATCATTATCATCATTATCATTATTTTATTATTATTATCATTATAATAATAATAACAATAATAATAATAATAATAATATTATTGTATAATAATAATAATAATAATAATAATTATTATTATTATTGTTATTACTACTATTATTATTATTATTATTATTATTATTATTATTGTTGTTGTTATTATTATTATTGTTATTATTCTAATAATAATAATAATAATTATTATTATTATTATTATTATTATTATTGTTATTATTATTCTAATAACCATTATCATTATACTTATTATTATTAATATCATCATTATTATTATAAATATTATTACTATCATTATTATTATCATTATTATTGTTAATATTAATATTATTATTATTATTATTATCATTATCATTATTATTATTATTGTTTTTATCATTATTATTATCATTATTATCATTATTATTGTTGTTGTTTTTATCATCATCATCATTATTATTATTATCATTATTATTATTACCATTATGACTGTTGTTGTTGTCATTGTTATTATTATCATTATTGTTATTATTATCATTATAATTAGTAATAATAATAATAACAACTTTAAACAATACTTTTTCAATATTTCCCAAGTGCTTAAAACAGAGCAAAGATGATTTTCTACAGTATTTTAAATCATTATATTACACTTAATAGTGTCTTGAGGAATATCTAGTCAAATATTCTGTGCTGTCATCATGGCAAAGAGAAAAGAAATCAGTTATCAGAAATGACTTTGTATATGAATGTATATTTGAAAACATGTTAATGTTTGTATAGTTGTTGCAAAACTAATATTGCTGAAGGGGGCTGATAATATTGAGCTTAAAATAGGTTTAAAAAGTTCAAAACTACTTTTATTTTAGCCGAAATAAAACAAATAAGACTTTCTCCAGAAGAAATAATATTGGAGGAAATACTGTGAACGATTCCTGTATCTGTTCAACATCATTTGGGGAATATTTGAAATAAAAGAAAATTACAGGAGTGTTAATAATTCTGACTTCAACTGTATATGAGTACAGGAACTTTTGAGTGACTTCTGCTGTTAATGCTTTACCTTTGTGTGTGCGTCAGGGCTTCATATGTGTGTCTCCATGTCCGTGTATCCGGGCAGCATGTCTCCATTAGAGCAGTTCTTCAGCATTTTGTCCATGCTGGGATCGTCGGTCTCTTTCCTCCGTTTCTGCATTCGCTGGTGGACCAGAGGCACGAAAAACATCACAATTCCCCCCACGATCGGAGGGACGCCGGCCAGGTAAAACGCCACGTGGTAGTTCCCGAAGTGATCATGAAGGAGACCTGAGAAACGAGCAGATATTAGAGATGAAAAGGCAGCAGTGATAGACTTTAACACCGCTAATCTGACGCTTCTCCAAGAAAAACTGAATGTTTAATGAGGAAAACAGCAGGCACTTTTGAATGATTAAATATTCACTCTTACTGGTAAGAGTTTAGAAAAGCTGTGTTAATGACATGGTTATTTTAAATGACACAGTGAAGAGTTGCAATTAAAGAACTGAAATAAAGTTAAATATAAAACACATATACTGTATATGAAGGCAGCACGGTGGCTCAGTGGTTAGCACTGTGGCCTTACAGCATGAAGGTCGCTGGTTTGAGTCTTGGCTGGGTCAGTTGCCGCCTCTGTGTGGAGTTTGCATGTTCTCCCCATGCTGGTGTGGGTTTCCTCCGTGTGCTCCGGTTTCCCCCACAGTCCAAACACATATCGGTGAACTAAATTGGCTTTCAAGAGTTCACACTTAGCTGATAATCAATAAAGCGCATTTGGCATGCTGTCCCAGGAGAGAGCCCTGAGCTCGTAATATCCTCGAGCACGGGGCTCCCTCCTGTTAGAAGGGCACAAGGGGAGTTCGAGCTCAGGTAGGTCTCGAGATCTCCCCTGCTTGTCACCGTGTGTGAAGTGTAAACTGAGATTGTCTTCGGTGGTAATTTGGTTGAGCTGATTGGCTATGATTGATGTTTTTGGACGGTGGGAGGATACCGGGGAACCCGGGGGAAACCCACGCAACCCTTTCAGCTGCAACCCATCTCTGGGAAACATTCACATACACCCATTTACACTCATACACTACGGACAATTTAGCCTACCCAATTCCCCTGTACTGTGTTTGGACTGTGGGGTAACCGGAGCATCCGGAGGAAACCCACGCGAACGCAGGGAGAACATGCAAACTCCACACAGAAACCCCAACTGACCCAGCTGAGGCTCGAACCAGCAACCTTCTTGCTGTAAGGCGACAGCACTACCAACTGCGCCACCGCATCGCCCATGGAAAATATACATATTGTTAATTCAAATTTTAAAGAAGGGCTCATAGTTTCATCTTCACCTGCATATATACTGTATACATAAGAGACAGTGCTTATTCACCGCTTAAATGTGGCCAATGTCATGCTGACTTTAAATAAAAAGCATGGTTAAATAATGGAACTAATCCAATACAACTCAACAGAGACTCCCCGTGTCGACCGCCACATTCATCTTCAAATGCTCTTCATTTCACAACCGTCCAGCAGGAATCTCAATGAGGCTTTCAGTCTGGAAGCATCGCTAGAAAAACAACTACAGCTGCCCTTCAGACATTGTAGACGCTCTCCGTCAAGATCACTCACAATCTAAACAACACAACCTAAAAGCCTGAACCCTAAAATAACACTTGGAAGTCAGATCACGGCTCCAAGTATATATGAACTAACAGCAGGACACAGCCAATCCAAACCTACTCTTAATACCCCTGCCATGAAGCGCTGCACTGAAAACAGAGACTATAAATGAGGCTTGAAGTTCTGACTATTCAGAGTTCCTGAAACAGCAGTAGTTCACTAATGAACCTGAAGATTTGGACATATGTGGTTCATTTATTCACTATTCTATTCCTTTTATAGTATTAATGTGCCTCTCAAATACTTACTGTATGCACTATTCTACGCCATTTTAATTATAAATTGTGCATATGTACATCCCAAAATGCATATTTATACATTATTCTATGTATTGTATAGTATAAATGATAAGAGGTGTCCCAAATCACATACTTATGCATTATTCTACTGCTTTTATAGAATGGATAGTGTAAATATGCATCCCAAATACTAACTGTACGCACTATTCTATGCCATTTTATAGTATAAATAATGTGTCCCAAATCACATCCATATCCACTATTATACCCCCTTTAGTAGTATAATGGTGTATGTGTACACCCCTAATACTTACTGTAAGCACTTTTTTTTAATGAATATTGTGTATAAGCTTTCCAAATCACATATTTATGGACTATTTTATGCCATTTTTATTATAAATATTGTAAATGTGCACCTGAAGTTGCGCACTTATGCACTATTCTATGCCATTTTATAGTATAAATAATAAGATCTGTCTCAAATTCAATACTTATGCACTATTATACCACTTTTTAGTGTAAATGGTGTATATGTGCATCCAAAAAACTTACTGTGTGCACTATTCTATGCCATTTTTAATATAAATTGTGCAAATGTACATCCCAAATTGTATATTTATACATTATTCTATGCATTTTAAAGTATAAATGATAAGAGTTGTTCCAAATCACATACTTATGGACTATTATACTGCTTTTATAGTATAAATTGTGTGTATGTGCATCCCCAATACTTACTGTATGCACTATTCTATGCCATTTGGTATTATAAATATTCTATGCACTATTTTATGCCATTTTTAAAATTATAAATAGTGTATGTGTGCATTCCAAATGACATATTTATGCACTACTCTATGCCATTTTATAATATAAATAATAAGGTGCATAGCAAATCACACACTTATGCACTATTATACCACTTTTATAGTGTAAATGGTGTATATGTGCATCCAAAATACTTACTGTATGCACTATTCTACACCATTTTTATTATAAATTGTGCATATGTACATTCCAAATTGCATATTTATACACTATTCTATGCATTTTATAGTATGATGATAAGAGGTTTCCCAAATCACATACTCATGCACAATTATACTTATTTTATAGTATAAATTGTGTATATGTGCATCCCAAATGCTTACTGTATGCACTAATCTGTGCCATTTAGTATTATAAATATTCTATGCACTATTCAACGCCATTTTTTACTATAAATAGTGTATGTGTGCATTCCAAATAACATATTTATGTACTACTCTATGCCATTATATAATATAAATAATAAGGTGCATACCAAATCACATACTTATGCACTATTATACCCCATTTAGTTGTACAAATGGCCTATATGTGCATCCTAAATACTAAACATAAGCCTTTTTTTAATAAATATTGTATATGTGTTTTCCAAATCACATATTTATGCATTTTTCTATGCCATTTTTATAATAATTAGTGTATATGTGCGTCTTAAATACTTACTGTATGCACTATTCTATGTAGTTTTTATTATTAGTAGTGTATATGTGCATCCTAAATACCTACTATATGCACTACTCTATGCCTTATTTATTTTAAATAGTGTATATGTGAGTCGTAGTTACTGTATGCCCTATTCTATGACATTTGGTATTGTTTTGAATCCAAAATTGCATAGTAATGCACTATTCTATACCATTTTTTAAATAAGTAGTGTATATGTGCATCACAAACTGAATACTTATGCACTATCCTTTGCCATTTTATTATATAAATAATCAAGATGCTTCCCAAATCACATATACTTATGTACTACTTTAGCCCTTATAATAGTATAAATGGTGTATTTGCATCCCAAATTGCACACTTATGCACTATTCTATGCCGTTTTATAGTATACATAATAAGATTTGTCCCAAATCACATATTTATGCACTATTCTACTCCTTTTATGGAATAAATAGTGCATATGTGCATCCTAAATACTTACTGTGTGCACTGTTCAATGCCATTTGGTATTATGCTGTATATGCACGCCCCAAATTGCATACTTATGCATTTTTATATGCCATTTTAATTATAATTTCTGTATATGTGCATCTTAAATTGCATAATTGAGCACTATCCTATGCCATTTTATAGTATAAATAATAAAGAGTGTGCCTAATCCCACACGTATGCACTATTCTACTGCTTTTATAGAATAAATGTGTCTTTCAAATACTTACTGTGTGCACTTTATTATAAGTATTGTATATGTGCATCCAAAATTGCATACTGATGGACTATTCTATGCCATTTTATTATAAATAGTGTATATGTGCATCCTAAATACTGACTGTGTGCACTGTACAATGCCATTTTGTATTATTCTGTATCTGTGCGTCCCAAATTGCATACTTGCACACTTTTTATTATACTTATGCCATTTTAATTATAAATAGTGTATATGTGCTTCCCAAACTGCATAATTGTGCATTATTATATGCCTATTTATAGTATAAATAATAAAGTGTTTCCCAAATCACACACTTATGCACTATTCTACAGCTTTTATAGAATAAATAGTGTATATGTGTGTCCCAAATACTTACAATATGCACTATTCTACGCCATTTGGTATTATGCGGTATATGCACGTCCTAAATTATGCATTTTTACTTGCCATTTTAATTATAAATTGTGTATATGTGCATCTTAAATTGCATAATTGTGCACTATCCTATGCCATTTTATAGTATAAATAATAAAGAGTGTGCCTAATCCCACACGTATGCACTATTCTACTGCTTTTGTAGAATAAATGTCTTTCAAATACTTACTGTGTGCACTTTATTATAAGTATTGTATATGTGCATCCAAAATTGCATACTGATGGACTATTCTATGCCATTTTATTATAAATAGTGTATATGTGCATCCTAAATACTGACTGTGTGCACTGTACAATGCCATTTTGTATTATTCTGTATCTGTGCGTCCCAAATTGCATACTTGCACACTTTTTATTATACTTATGCCATTTTAATTATAAATAGTGTATATGTGCTTCCCAAACTGCATAATTGTGCATTATTATATGCCTATTTATAGTATAAATAATAAAGTGTTTCCCAAATCACACACTTATGCACTATTCTACAGCTTTTATAGAATAAATAGTGTATATGTGTGTCCCAAATACTTACAATATGCACTATTCTACGCCATTTGGTATTATGCGGTATATGCACGTCCTAAATTATGCATTTTTACTTGCCATTTTAATTATAAATTGTGTATATGTGCATCTTAAATTGCATAATTGTGCACTATCCTATGCCATTTTATAGTATAAATAATAAAGAGTGTGCCTAATCCCACACGTATGCACTATTCTACTGCTTTTATAGAATAAATGTGTCTTTCAAATACTTACTGTGTGCACTTTATTATAAGTATTGTATATGTGCATCCAAAATTGCATACTGATGGACTATTCTATGCCATTTTATTATAAATAGTGTATATGTGCATCCTAAATACTGACTGTGTGCACTGTACAATGCCATTTTGTATTATTCTGTATCTGTGCGTCCCAAATTGCATACTTGCACACTTTTTATTATACTTATGCCATTTTAATTATAAATAGTGTATATGTGCTTCCCAAACTGCATAATTGTGCATTATTATATGCCTATTTATAGTATAAATAATAAAGTGTTTCCCAAATCACACACTTATGCACTATTCTACAGCTTTTATAGAATAAATAGTGTATATGTGTGTCCCAAATACTTACAATATGCACTATTCTACGCCATTTGGTATTATGCGGTATATGCACGTCCTAAATTATGCATTTTTACTTGCCATTTTAATTATAAATTGTGTATATGTGCATCTTAAATTGCATAATTGTGCACTATCCTATGCCATTTTATAGTATAAATAATAAAGAGTGTGCCTAATCCCACACGTATGCACTATTCTACTGCTTTTGTAGAATAAATGTCTTTCAAATACTTACTGTGTGCACTTTATTATAAGTATTGTACATGTGCATCCCAAATTGCATACTTATGGACTATTATAAGCCATTTTTTGCATAAATAGTGTATAAGTGCATACCTAATTGCAAACTTTAATGCATTGATACTGTAACCCAATCAAATTTCAATGCAATGGGGTGGGGTAGGGCCATATAATCAGTGGTTTTGACTGTATAAAATGCATAATGCATATAGAGGGTCCTCATAAGGCATCAATCCCAACCTGTGTGTGTGTAACGGCATTTGCGTGTGGCTCATTCATAGTAGCAGGAAGGCTCTACAACAACTACATCCAATCACCATTCAGAAACGACCTGGTTCAGTTTTACCATGGTATTTGTGACTGAATATCCGCTGCATCAGTATCTGTCAGTCATTCTGCAGTGTTTATCAAACAGTGGGCGGGGAAAACCAGCTCTTTTGCATTTAAAGGCGCAGACCGAAACAGCTCAAAATCCCTCTCACCTAAAAAATGACATTTTCAACAGGGTATAATAAATGATCTGATGAGTGTTTTGAGCTGAAACTTCACACACACATTCTAACAACACAACTAACTTGTTTTATATCTTGTGCATAGGCATAATAGGAACCCGTTAAAGCTGAACTGGACACATATGGAGGTCATCATCACTGAACAACAGCATTTATGTCAACAGTCCAAACCGAATGTGCTCGCAGGGAGACCTTGGAATTTACCCTCCGAAATAAATCTTGTCCGCTGAAGCAGTAAAGTGGAAAAACACTCGGTCTGTTGTGCGTGTGCGCGTCTTATCTGAGGAGCGCAGCCAACATCAGCATGCTGCCTGATTAACGCCGCATTTTCAACATATTTATATACCAGTTTCATATAAAGATTTTATTGTGTGCGGACGGATGTTATGCCCCGCTAGTCTCACACACACACACACAGGAACTGCTTCAATGACCGTATCACTCCGCCTGCAGCTTTCCTCATGGCAGAGCACCAAACTCACTATAGTTTAACTCACAAATACTACTTCTGTTGAGTCACATCATGTGCTCAAAACAGATTATGACTTAAGACACAATAGGTTTTGATCCAAATATCCACTAGAAACCACTAGAACAGTGCTATGTATTTTGTATGTATAACATCCCTAATGTTTTCACACTGATAGTCATATGTTCCTTTAGCATAAAGCGGTAGATGTTGTTGATTCTGACCTGCGATGGGTGGTCCTGCAGTCATGGGTATGGCCATGAGTCCCAGCAGGTACCCGATGGCCTGTGACGCCTGCATGGGTCCAACCAGCTCGAAGGCGATGGGGGCCATAATCGTGATGAAACAGCCGTCGCAAAGACCCATCAGCACGAAAACCACCACCAGACCCTCAAACACGGCACACTGAGGAATCATCATGGACATCACGCCCAGCAATATGAAGGAGGCCACCTGCAAACGCAACAGTCATCAGAGGATGAGGAGAAATGCTGCAATCACTGTCAAATAACTCACACGCATGAAGGATGAATTGCAAAGAAATAAAATAAATGCATGCTATTAGAGTCAGAGTTTAGGGGTGAACAAACAGAAACAATGGCAAAAAAATGAAATAAGTTGCCTTTGCATGAATTTCATATTTATTAAGTGAGAATTTGGGCGGTTGGACAGGTGTACCTAATAAAGTGGCCTACTAATTGTCAAGTATTGTGAAAAATAGATTCTATATAAATAATTATATACAGCATACACACACACACACACACACACACACACACACACACACACACACACACACACACACACACACACACACACACACACACACACACACACACACACACACAAAGACAGACACTCTCTGATATTGAATTAGGTAAGCAAGGTAATTTTTCACAGTATTTCCTATTATTTCCTTCTGGGGAAAGTCTTGTTTCTTTTAGAAATAGGTCAATGCTAAGGTCAATGTTAGCTTTAATTGACTACAAAAAGGCTTTTAAAAACAGAACTATAGATAGTATTTGGAAAAAAAACATCACAGGAGGGGGTCATAATTTTGTCCTGTACATACATTTGTCCTCAACTCGTCTTATACATACATAAAGTCAAGCCCAGATTTATCCACACCCCTCAGAAATTCAGACTTAAAGTTACTTCTGTTCAACCGGCAAGTTTGCTTTAGACTGGAAACAACCCAGAATGCTCCCAAAAGATAATAAGACGATGTACAAAAATATTACTATTTGCATTTAAACAAAAACTTATGGTTAGAATTTGCCAGGAGTATGAATAATTTGAGGCTTGACTATATATATACACACATACAGTGTATACACTATACACACACACACACACACACACACACACACGTTCTGTATTGTTTAAATTGAAATACTACTAACCACAGTTGAAGGTCGCTGATTAAAATGACTATTGTGCATTCTTTAATGAAGGATTTCAGAATATGCAGGTCACATTCGACCAACACTCTTGCATGAGCTCTTAAAAGTGCATAACTGCATACTGAACAACTCACATTCCAGATCAGGACGAGGCACTGCAGGTTGATATTTCTGCCATATTCTAGACAAGTCTGCTTTACAGCAACATTATTATTGTGTTATGATGTGTATGCTTGTGTACTAAGTGAAAAACAGACAGGTGAACATCTCATAACAACATAAACTGCAACAGAACATTCAGTTTCAGTAGAAAACATCATCTGTTGATGGAAAATGTGAATGGTACTTTTGAAGATGTTCAATTATTAACACTGATGTTTCCTGTCAACCAAACTGATGCACCACATCATCATCTTTGCTGAGAGAGTTATTTTATACACAGTTGAACATTAAACACAGTGGAAATGTTTTCTACAGTGATTGTCAGACATGCTTCTGTACCTGCATGTAGATCTTCTTGACTCCAGGTATGAGGTCTCCGATCTTCCCGAACAGCAGTCGCCCGACTCCAGACGAAGCTCCGATGCACACCAGCAGCAGCCATTCCCTCTGAGTGTCTCCAAACTGCTCCTTCACGAAGTTCAACTGACAGAGACAAACCGTGGATGATTAACACATGATCTGTCTGTCACTGAGGCTTAAACAAAAACACATCAATTCAGCTCATGTTTATTTTATAACGCTTTTACAGTGCAGATTGTGTCAAAGCAGCTGAACATAGAAGATTATAGTGAATTGAAACAGTGTAGTTCAGTTTTCAGAGTTGAAGTTCAGTTCAGTTCATTCATTTTCTTATCGGGCTTAGTCCCTTTATTAATCCGGGGTTGCCACAGCGGAATGAACCGCCAACTTATCCAGCAAGTTTTTACGCTGGGATGCCCTGCCAGCCGCAACCCATCTCTGGGAAACAGTTCAGTTCAGCGTGGTTTAATTTCACTGCTGAAAGTCAAAAGAAGAAGAGCAAATCAATTGATGCGCAGCTCCACAAGTCCCAAACCAAGCAAGCCAGTGGCAATAGTGACGGAACAAACAAGCTGCTCAGGATACGGCCTGGTCCAGGATTATAGCGATCTATCTATCTATCTATCATCTATCTATCTATCTATCTATCTATCTATCTATCTATCTATCTATCTATCTATCTATCTATCTATCTATCTATCTATCTATCTATCTATCTATCTATCTATCATATCATCTATCTATCTATCTATCTATCTATCTATCTATCTATCTATCTATCTATCTATCTATCTATCTATCTATCTATCTATCTATCTATCTATCATATCATCTATCTATCTATCTATCTATCTATCTATCTATCTATCTATCTATCTATCTATCTATCTATCTATCTATCTATCTATCTATTTATCATATCATCTATCTATCATCTATCTATCTATCTATCTATCATATCATCTATCTATCTATCTATCTATCTATCTATCTATCTATCTATCTATCTATCTCCATCCATCCATCCATCCATCCATCCATCTATCCATCTATCTATCCATCTATCTATCTATCTATCTATCTGTCTATCTATCTATCTATCTGTCTAAACTCATTCATTCATTTTCCTTTGGCTAAGTGGCTTATTCATCCGGGGTTACCACAGCAGAATGAACCATCAACTATTCCAGCATATGTTTTACACAGCTGGTTTTTACACTATAGGGGAATCCGGAGCACCCAGAGGAAACCCACGCCAACACGGGGAGAACATGCAAACTTCACACAAAAAAAGCCAACTGACTTAGCCAGGGCTCGAACCAGCGACCTTCTTGCTGTGAGGCCACAATGCTAACCACCGAGCCACCATGTTGCCTCAATAATAATAATGGTAATAATAATAATGTAAAAGCTGCTATGGTAAAAATTATTAGAGCCCTTAAGACCATTCCTGCAGTATCTTGTACAAACACAAGAAAATACCTATATTCTGTGCACAGATCAGATATATAACTCATGTTGCTGTCTAAAAACTTCTGGACTGAACGCTCATCATCACTCCTGTGCTCATCAAAGCCTGTTTTCTTCAGCCTCATCAATGACTGCATTAATGGTGGGAACGCAGGAAAAGCGGCTATAAGGTGAACGTTTCCGCTCATAGACGCCCTTGTTTCTAAGAAGGGAAGAGGGGTTCAAAATAAAAGGCTTCTGAAGCATTTCCTCATGCTAGAGATCACAGGAGGAGCGCTTTACAAAAGAGGCTGAGCGAGAAAAGCTCAGGGGTGCAACAAAAGCTGATCTCACACGCTGCCTTAATGTGGAGGAGGGGCTTTCCTGCTTGATCATGTTCAGCCAATCACACGCACACATGCACAAATACACACATACACACAAATAACATATATGCACTGACATACGAGTGCACACAAATGCACCCAAACACATATACATACATGCATACACACTCATGCAGTATATAAATAGACCCATGCACAAACACACACATGCACACACACACACACATGTGCACACAAACATATATATACACACATGTACACATACACATAGACGGACATGCATACACACTTGCACCAACCCACACACATGCATACATACATACATGCACACACACATGCACAAACATACACACAAACAAACATACATGCACCTATGTACACACATACATACTTGCACACACGCATAATTACACCCGAACATGCACATTTCCATACCTGCATATGCATACACCCACACACATGCACACACATGCACACACATGCACACACACACACACACACACAATTATAGAGACACAGAGATATACATGCACACAACCATACACACACACACACACACAATCATACATATGCACACAATCAATCATACACACACACACACACACACAAAATCATACACATGCAAACAATCAATCATACACACACATTCATACACACACACACATGCATACACACATACATAGACACACTCTCTCAAACACTACCTCTCACATTCAGACACACACTTTCTCACACACAGTCACTCAGACACGCACACACACATATATACATGACCACTAAAACACACACTCACATGCTCTCTTTGTCTCACACAAACATGCACGCACACACATATGCACTCTCACACACACAAAGAAGTATGCTCTCTCTCTCACACACACACACAAACACACACACACACACACACACCCACACACACACACACACACACACTCAAACACACACAATTATACAGACACAGAGATATACATGCACACACAACAATATACACACACACACACACTTACATATTCATACATGTGCACACACACACATACACACACACACACAAACTCTCTCTCCCACACACATGAATACACACATACATAGACACACTCTCTCACACACTACCTCTCACAGTCAGACACACACTTTCTCACACACAGTCACTCAGACATGTACACACACACACGCACACACACATACATACATGACCACTAAAACACACACTCACATGCTCTCTTTGTCTCACATACACATGCACGCACACACATATGCACTCTCACACACACAAACTCACACAAAGAAGTATGCTCTCTCTCTCTCTCTCTCACACACACATACACACACAAACACACACACACACACATTCATCCGTCTCGTTTTTTTGCATGATCTTGTATTCGGGCTGTAGGAATCCGTCAGAACATTCTCTTCCAGATCAGAGTGTGTGAGTGTGTGTATGTGTGTGTGTGTGTCTGCATTGTTCTGCAGTTCCGAGCTGGTGTTTCCAGCGGAGCCTGACAGAAGGACCACTGGTCTGCAGAGCTCACAGAACAACAAACAAAGAACCTGTGGAAAACACACGTCTGTCTGGAGCCCACCCGCCCGCCCGCGGGGCCCCAGAGTACACCACAGCCTGTGTTCTCCTGCAGGGTCCGGGAAACACTCGCGCGCTCGCTCTGTTAACGTACCGCTTCCTCTCGGGCATCATGGGGACACCGCTCCACTCAAGCTCAGCCAACAATCACTCTACACACACACACACACACACACACACACACACTCTCCCTCCCTCTGTCACACACAGAAAAACACACTCATGCACAGAGACACACACACACACACACACACACACAGTATTGGAGGTCTTTGGTTTAAAGGCATCATCAATAATGCACAGCCAGCAACAAAACAATCTGAGGAGATGTCAGGAGGACAAACTCTGAATACAAATAACTTCTGTTGATGCAAATGTTGTCCCATTAAAAAAGTCCCTGAATACCTGTAACCATTGACTTCCATAGTAGAAAAAACAAATATGAAAGTCAATGGTTACAGGTTTCTTCAATACATATTTGGTATTGAACAAAAGAGAGAAACTTTAAATAAACGATCGCAGTATTTTTGGTTTTGGGTTTTACAGTCTCTTTAAAAAAGTTACTGAATACCTGTAACCATTGACTTCCATACTAGGAAAAACAAATATGAAAGTAAATGGCTACAGGTGTCTTTAAAATATCTTTTGTATTGAACAGAAGAAATAAACTCTGAATAAATGATCACAGTATTTTTGGTTTTGGGTGAACTGTCCCTTTAAAAAAGTCCCTGAAAACCTGTAACCATTGACTTCCATAGTAGGAAAAACAAATATGAAAGTCAATAGTTACAGGTGTATTCAAAACATCTTTTGTGTTGAACAGAAGTAAGAAACTCTGATCTGGAAGATGAATAAACCATCACAGTATTTTAAGTTTTGGGAGTCACTGAAAACCTGTAACCATTGACTTCCATAGTAAAAAACAAATATGAAAGTCAATGGTTACAGGTTTCCAGCCTTTTTCAAAACATCTTCTTTTGTGCTCAAATTAACAAAGAAACTCAGATCTGCAAAAAGTGGAAGATGAATAAATGATCACAGTATTTTTGGTTTTGGGTGAACTGTCCCCTTAAAAAAAGTCACTGAAATCCTGTAACCATTGACTTTCATAGTAGAAAAAACTAATATGAAAGTCAATGGTTACAGGTGTCTTCAAAACATATTTGGTATTAAACAAAAGAAAGAAACTTTAAAAAAAACAATCACAGCATTTTTAGTTTTAGGTGAACAGTCTCTTTAAAAAAGTCACTGAAAACCTGTAACCATTGACTTCCATAGTAGAAAAAGCACATATGAAAGTCAATGGTTACAGGTGTCTACAAAACATCTTTTGTGTTGAACAGAAGAAAGAAACTCTGAATAAATGATCACAGTATTTTTGGTTTTGGGTGAACTGTCCCTTTAAAAAAAGTCCCTGAAAACCTGTAACCATTGACTTCCATAGTAGAAAAAGCACATATGAAAGTTAGTGGTTACAGCTTTCTTCAAAACAGCTGTCTTTGTTTTGTGTTGAACAAAAGAAAGAAGCTCTAGAAGATGACTAAATGATGACAGATTTTTCAGTTTAGGGTGAACCGTCTCTTTAAGACAGAAGTTGAAGGATCGTCCTTTTTATTTGTATGATCATGAAAACGAGGCTGACGTTGAGGAAACGCTCTATTGTCTCTGTGTAGAGGAAATGAATAGGATTTAACTTCAGAAAGCATTCCCACTCGAGCGTCTCCATTGTTCTCTTTGTTTGGTGGCCG